GCCAAAAATAGTTTAAGATTATAATTAGTCCACCTGTTTCCCCCATTAACATGCAAATACATTTTTCTTGTTCAGAGACTACATGAGAGATTTCCCAGTCCTTGTAAAATATCACACATCCACATAAAGGGAGCAGCAACTCCTCTGTGAAAGGGGGGGAGTTCGGCTTAAAGGCTGCAGCAGGGAGAATCCCAACTTTTTTCCTCTCCCTCCATTTACAGAGGAGCTGCGGCTCCCTTTATGCTCCCCCTGGCCCCCTCCCTCCTGTGGGTCGAAGCACCTGAAAGGGACAGGCAGGCTGCCACAGATTTACTGAGAAGACATTTCTGAGAAGAGAAACTTCTCGGGTCCGGCTGCATCCGAGCTGGTGGAGCATCCTTGTGATCAGAGCAACCACGCAGCTCACCTGCATTGGCTGTCTCCCTGGCGACGGGCCGGCGGTTGCGGGCGCTCCACCAGCTCAGGTGCAGCCGGACCAGAGAAGTTTCTCTTCTCAGAAATGTCTTCTCAGTGGAGCTGTAGCAGCCTGCCTGTCCCTTTCAGGCGCTTCGACCCCTGGGAGGTAGGGGGCCGGGGGGGCATAAAGGGAGCCGCAGCTCCTCTGTGAATGGGGGCAGTGGAGTTCGGCTTCTCTCTGCCATTTAAAGGCTGCAGCAGGGAGAATCCCAACATTTTTCCTCCCTCCATTCAGAGCGGAACTGCTCCAGCCTCCTCCACACACACGTTGCCCAGTAACCCTAACCTTCGCGCTCTTATCCACGCTCTCCTCGACTCCTCATGACTGCAATAGATGTCCAGAATCAGCTTTTGAGGCTAATGGGAGCTTGGGTTTCCAGCCCCCGCTGCTTCTGGACGTCTATTGCTGTCGCGAGGAGCCGAGAAGAGCACGGAGAAGAGCGTGAAGGTTGGCGCTCCGGGAAGCCGCGAAAGCAGTTGGGAGAGGCACGCAGCTTGGTTTAGCCTCCCTAGACATTGCAGCAGCAGCCCCAAGTGTGCCAATCTGGCCATTTTTCGCATCGGGGTCTGCTACAAGAGGGGAGGAGTGAAGACCTTTTCCAGCTGGCGCAAAGGACTTCCCTGGACTTGCTTTAGTGAGCACGGGCCCGCACCTCCACCACCAACAATCAGGAAAAGGTCTTTACTCCCTCTCTCTTATAGCACATCCCGATGCAAAAAATGGCGAGGCCTTGCAAGGTCCCCGAACTTGTCAAAGATGCTGGCCGCGCCGTGTAAGCTCCCGCCACTGTCCCCACCCCTGCACCCGTGCTTTCTGGCGGCCAGGCATCTTAGGCAAGCCTGGGGACCTTGCAAAGGCCTTGCGAGGTCCCCAAACTTGTCAAAGATGCCAGCCACGCCACGTAAGCTCCCGCCACCGTTCCCACCCCCGCGCTTACTGGCAGCCATCCCCCACCCTACGCTTAGTTGCAGCTTACTTACCTCCTCGGAGTCGGCAGGCAGCAATAGAGAGCCAAACAGGAAAAAAGGTAAGTGGGTTTAGATAGGGTTCTTAGAGGCAGGCGGGGAGATTGGTGAGGTAGCCAATCAGTGAGTGGTGGGTGGGGCTAGGATCGTGCAGATGGGTGGGGGGAGCAAGTAATGGAGTGGCTTCCGGATGGGCAGGGGGGAGCGAGCGAGTGAGCGACAGGGCCGGGGCAGGCGTTCCGGAACTTACTTTTGGGTGCACCGGTGGAACCTCCTCTCACCATTTCGGTAGATTTGACCAACTGGTTCTACCGAATCGGAGCGAACTGGTAGGAACCCACCTCTGCTTTGTTCAGTGTGCTTGTAACTTCAAACAGTCACTAAGCAAACTGTTGGAAGTCGAACGCTACCTGCAATTTAAAAGTGAAAAATGTGATTAAACATTGCTTTATGGTGGAAAACTGTGGCCAGCGGGAATCAAATAATGACATCCATAGGAGCTTAGTAAGAAGCAGTTGGGTGCAACACTAGTATGAGGCTTATAATGATCAGTAAATTAAAAAAAGACCCCCAACTTGTGCATAATGGAGTTTATTTCCTGTCTTTTTTTAAGACGAACAATGAGGATCCTTTTAATTCATCCGCAAATGTTAACAATATAGTTATAACAAAAAATTTGTTCGAGGAAGCTCCAGTCAAAAATGAAGATATTCCTCCTGCTTTGCCTCCTAAAACTGGAACACCTACCAGACCTTGTCCTCCCCCACCTGGTAAGAGACAGCATTAAATCTATAAATGCTAAGGTTTAAATGGAGCTTTTTTCAGATGTAATGAAACTGTAAAAGGAACATCCTATATTTCCCCCCACATTCTGTAATACAAGAATGCCCAATTTAGTTACAAACTAATTTTCATTTTCTAAAAACTTTGGTTTGTATTTTTTAAAATGTCCAGTGCAATAAATTATAAAAGAAGCTGTATTAGTACTATAAAACTCTAAATTTAATTTGATAAGGATGGCTGATTTGAACCATTTTTAATCTGAACATTGTGATTTGAATTAGATGGCTAGCTCCCATTTTATGTGTCCAAAAGCATCCATGTAATGAAAATCATGGCAAACATTATCTACTCTCCAACTCAAAACCCTCATCCTGTAACTTTAGAATATTTTAGAAAATCATATGAGTTTAGGATATGTAGTATTACTTACACTATGTACTGAAAAAATATTGTCATGTTCATAATTATGCTAACTGGTTATTTTGGTGTAGGAAAAAGACCTATCCACAAATTGGAGTCTTCAGAATCTTTTAAATTGAATGATCCTTTCCAACCTTTCCCAAGTTCTGATGGTTCCAAAGGAAAGGAAGCTGATCCATTTGCTCCTAGTGGAGTAGGCAAAGAGATGGATTCCAGCAATTTTGCTAATTTCAATACTGTAAGTATGGAGATATTCATTTACCGTAAATAATTATTGTTTTGCAAGAATAGTGAATATAACTCTATAAACCTTGAAGATGGGAATGAGTTCCTCTGTATTAGTAATCTCTTATTTAAAGAATACATCATCATGATCTGTTTGGAGACAAATACCTGGTTGTTAGCCTTCCAGTAACACATTGACCACTATGCAACAATTACATAGTAATTCTGAAAGTTCTCTGAGGTTTTAATCTAGCTATAATTGCATGCATTGCATATATCAACCTGTAGCAGGACTTACAAATTGATATTGCAACAAGACAGTCTTAGCACTAAACACTTTCCTTAGTAAGCCTCTTATGTCCTGCCCAGGCATTTGAATAAGCAGCTGGTTGAAATGTCTGCATGATCCTTAGTTGTTATGTTGCATGACTGTCATTTGATATATTTTCTTGAAAGAGGTGGAGAAAAAGTAACATTCTGAATCTATTGACGACATGATACAGAACTCTTCACAAAATTTAGTTTTTTACTTTCTGTGATTAATTATAGGAATAGTATATTGTATGATGTATTTTAAAATAATTCATCTGTATACTTAGCAAATGATAGTACTTGAGCCTTTTTTGCCTGGGTTGGAAGTGGGGTCTGATCTAATTAATACTATGATGAGAGATCATCAGAAAAGTTTAAAAAAAACATTATGGGGAGAAGCAATGATGTATTCCTTCCATATTACAATATCCTCAAATTCTTACTTGCTGTTCTACTTTCTGTTTTAGTATCCTACTGAAGAAGATATGATTGAATGGGCAAAAAGAGAAAGTGAGAGAGAGGAGAAAGAGCGACTAGCAAGATTGAAGCAGCAAGAGCAAGAAGATTTAGAACTAGCAATTGCACTCAGTAAATCTGAAATATCAGAAGCATGAAGGGTTGCCTCAAATATTTCTACTTTTCCCTGGATATCTAAGCTATACGTAAAGTAAATCAGAAGTTACATATGAATGGGAAAGTCAAAAAGGCTTTAAATCCGGCAAATGTGATTTTTTGAGCAATTATCTTATTTGTAACTTTTTCATATCCATTATTTTCATTTGGCAATTGTTTAATATAGCAATTTTCCATTTGTACTTACCTTGGAATTCTTCTGTACTGTACACTATTGCACCAAAGTAGCTTATTTTAACATGTAAAAAAAGAAAACCCTGATAACTCTACATTTTTAAATTTGAACACAGATGCAAAACAATATATTGTGGACAATTTTAAAAGACAAATATGTTTCATGCAAAGTACATTTTTCTATGTGTAATATATTCTTTGCAGTGTGAAAATCTTTAAAAATGCAGGTGTGCATAACTGTGAAGTGAACACACTTTGTTCTTTAAAGATGGCTAGGTCACATATAAGAGATCTATGTTCTAAAATATTCATAGATGGCATGTTTTATGTCTCTTCAGAAGGGTCCTATTTGCAATTTCTATAATACTGAGTTATTTTAGTTCTTCCAGGTGGCCTGCATTTGGCCTGTAAGTAAAACTGGCGATATAGTTAATCAAATTATAGTTATTTAAAAAGAAAAATCTAGCTTGCAAATATTCAGGTAATTAAAAATTCTGATAATCCTGCTTTGTATTGAAATATTCATGTCTGGCATTACAGTATTAAAATTTATATTTTATGTTTTACAGAGATAGCATTTCATCTTAAATATATGAAATGATTTATGCTTCTTGTGTTCTTTTTACTGGAAGCTCCAATACTGGACTGGAGATCAAAATCCCCCCCACATACACACACCGCATTACTGCCTTTTGCCTGACCATTAAGAGTCTAAAGAAATTTGGACATTTTCCAGGGAGATAATAAAATTAGACTGGCCAAATTCAGTGTCAAGAATTCTGATGCTAATTGAGCCAGTTTCTTTTGTGAAATATGCAAAAAAAAATTGGTGATTTGACAGCTGAATTTGAAATAAAGTAGGAAGTAGACTGCACAAAAGATAACTTACAACAGTCAGTTACTGTTGTGTATAATTTATTGAATGCCAACTGATGGTTGCACCTTAAATTAAATACCCTTATGTGGTCACGGAGTCAAAATAAGATTGAATGTTAAAGAAAAATAAGTTATTTCCTATTCTATATAATGTGTTACATAGTGCAGAGTGTTGAATTCATTCCAGATACCTTCCTTTTTACTCTGAAATGCTTAGTTAGGCTGCAGGCTTACAAAATAGGTGGTCCTATGTCATCACCACCCCACTCTAATGCATGATATGGTATTTATAACTAAATTTGGTATTTTTTTTCTTCAGCTGCAAAAGATTCCATAATTGCCACTGTCAGGATAAGGTATTTCCATTTATCTGTGGATGCTGCTGTCAAGAATCTTTTGAAGAAAGTAGTGTTTCCTCATTTTTTAAAATATTAGTTTGAATAAACTTTCTCTTTTGCACTGAGAAATGAGAATTTAAACACCTAATAAACAAAATAAAACCTCTTGCCAAGTATTAATAACCTTAATTTTCTCATGGACTTTCATGGCATTAATCATACAAGTTGTGTGGTTAACTGCATTTCTTACTTTTAAATGTATACTTGGTGGACCAATACATTATCTGTGTCACTCATAGTCATGTATACATGTATGTGTATATATGTACACAAACATTACTTCATTCAGGCATAGGATTAAAAGTTCTGAGTCACCTGATGTGACATTTTGTGTTACTGATGGTTCACAGAACTTTTACTCAAAGTATCTCAATAAACCACTGCTATGTCAGCTTTGATGGCATTACTACTAAAGTTCTAAAAGGCTTCTAGGAACTTTTTCAGGCGGGGTTAGCCTCTATTTATAGACTTTGTTTAAAAATTCTAAATACAGCCTGTAATTATGAATTAAACTGTTTAAGTATATATGATGAGCCTAGAGAGTTTTTTTTATGTTTTATGTAAGGCATAAAGCATCGCATCTTTGGATCACTGTTCAAAAATTACTTCACCTGATACAAATATATAAGTGAAAAAAATGCTTCAACTAATACTTCTCAATACCAGAAATGTGCTCCAACCTCCAAATTAAACTGCCATCTCCTATTAGTATGACATTAGATTTGCAGACCAACCAATTCCAATATAGTACATGAGAATGCCATCTTTAAAACTCACTCTGAAATAGAAAGCAAGAAAAAGATAAATACTGGTCTTTTCAATATCTTTATATTTCAATATTACAAAGCATGGAACTTTATAATTGATGATCTTTTGAAAAATCACCTTTTAGATTGTTACATGATGATTATACAGTTCCAATATGGTCTGCAATAAAACATCTGTATCAATAATTTGGTGGCCGGATTTATAACTTGCACTAAATTGAGCCCAAATAAACAAAATTATTGGTTAGCACAAATGTGCTAATCCAGCCACTGAAATCGAAGTAATTCTATTGCCAAGGCGGATTTCAATGTATCAAAATTTCCTTCTTTTAAGATTTAGTTAAGAATTACCTTTGTCAGTATCGGTCTACCCCAAGCCTTACCCAACCTGCAACTCTCCACATGGATCAATTCTGCAATTCCCAAAATGTTGCTATGAGCTAGGAGTTGCGCTCAACAGATTTGAAATGATCACTTTGGGAAAGGCAGAGCTTTGCGTGTATTTTGATCTATTTCAAGAAGCGTCATGTCTATTTGAGGATTTGCACATATGGACACTCAAGTGAATACAAATGGTGGATTACCCTTACTGAGCAGACCAGTATATGAGTGCTGGTTGGTCTCTGTTACATTTGTAATAGTTTTAAATGACCCACTTTACTAAGAAAACATCTTAATTGACAGTTCTTATTTCCCACTTACCTCTTCTTTTATACTGTTCCCAGCTTCCAGCAGTATGCCTAATAGGGCTGTCCATGCTGAGAATAATTTAGAAGCATTTCTGACTCTAAATCATAAACAGAAAAACAATGTACTTGTGTGGAGTCTGAAGAACATCCTAGATAATATTCATAGTGTCCACAGTTTCATAAGCTATGCAGTTAAGTGAAATGTCCTCAAAACATGTGTATCATAGCAGATCTGATAGATTTGTGCTACTATAAAGATTAAAATGACTTGTCTACCCATCTGAAACTTTTTTTACACTTTGGATGTTTTACATTAGTTATTAATTCTGGTTGATACTTAGTATTACATTGGTTAATTTTGTTTTGTTTTTTAATCGACCTTAAATATTGAGGTATTGTGTGAATAGAATGTACACATGATCAGGTATATATATATAATATAGAATGTACGCATGATCAACACATGTAGATTGATTATGTACCATCAAGTTGGTTTGATCTTGTCTGGCTTCTGGATAGAAACATTGCAGACTAGTACAGTATATCTCTGAGAAAAGCGAGGATAATGCAGAGGCAAAGACCAACAGTCAGACAATATGCCCGAGGTAAGAGCTTTTCCAGACAAAAAAGCAGCCATTAATCATCTACATGAGCTCCAGAGGTGGGGGTGAGCTCCACATGAGGAAGCCCACAGAAAAAGGCATTCATGTATCAGCTTTCCCAAATCTGACAGAAAATGACTACATTTAGTGTAAGGATACCTTAGTAGAATCTTGCAAGTTTTAAAGTACAAATCTACTGCCATCTCTTTACAGACTGATACGTTTGTGGATTCTCACAGTTTTTTTAACAGTCAAGCCCCTGGAAACTCCTCCCTTCTCTTGTATGTTTATTTTCTAGGCAGCATCTTTTCCCATCATTTCCCAAGATCACCCATACACCCAGATGTAAACTACCATCTTCTATTAGCATGGCATTAGATTTGCAAACTGACCAATTCCAATATTGTATATCATGCTTACAGCTTTGTGAAAATACTATTTAAAGGATGCCGCATGATCCACTTTCTAAAGCACTTTTAAATGAGCACATTTGGCATGTAAAAAGGCTTTGAGAATACTTAAAGTCATTTGCATAAGTGTATCTTCAATCCACAAAAGAACAAAGTTAAAAAATGAAAATGCCAGTTAACACATTTTTTAAAAGAATTAAATGCAAAAGTCTTACTGGGAGCTTAGTTTAAGAAAGTTTAAGAAACAGCCTAAAGGGACAATTAAATTTAGAATATTGCCTCTTTAAAATATCTTTTTAAATTATAGATGATGTACAGTATATGTGAGAAAGAAAGAATATATAATAATTAAGGAAGCTGATTGGCAGAGTGTTGAAGAGATAAATAGAAGAGAAATATGAAGTTCTGAGAAGGTAGAGTGCTGAATGGCACCAGTGTTAACATGGGGAGGGGAAGCCTCTTGGGTTTTACTCCCCTTTTACAGATTATAAATTTGAAATATATAACAATGTTTATTGCTAAAAGGTGTGAAAATTATTGTTAGCCTTAATAGGCAGACCAGACAGGAAACAGAATCAGATGAGCTAATTCTATTTTATTAAAAAGATAAAAGGTAAGGAGTCCCTGTGTCCCTCCGCTAGTTGTTGCCAACGCTAGTGGGCAGTGCTCATCTCCATTTCAAGGCCATTGAACCAGCCCTGTCCAAAGACATGTCTGCAGTCATGGCCAGCAGGACTACAGAGTGTTATCTTCCTCCCAAAGAGGTAGTGTTTACTCGTATTTGTTTGCTTTTGATTGGCAGGAATTGGGGCAAGGACAGGTACTAACCCTGTCATGTGGCACTCTGTCTCGAACCTGGCTGCTGGGTTTTCAGCTGACAAGCCCAGTGTCTTAACCGCTGTGTCACTATGCCGCCCAATAGAAAAAGATACATTAACAGAATTTTGAAAGCTGAAAGTACAATTTTACCACCCTCATCATTAAACCGTTACAACTTGGGGTGGTCTCTTCTGAGCCTTTTGTTCTGTCCACCATGCAGTTGCAGGTTATGCTCACTCTTATCTGACCATGTTCTAGGCAGCATCTCTTCATCCCATCTTCCAAGGTCATTCCCACATATCATTACAGTTATAAAAGGAAAGAGAGGCACTGTTAAGCCACTTCAAAGTAATATATCTATGATAGATAAATTCATACAAAAGTATACTATTTTGTTGTCCAGCAAGGTTATTAGATGTGTATAAAATGCATATACGTTTGATGGAAGATAAAAAGATGAATATTTTGTGGAATACTAAACCTGGACTTCTTGCGGAAAATGGAAGAAGTGAAATAATTTCTAGACTGAACAATTAAAATTTGATGGGTATGTATGTATGTATGTATGCACATAAAAGATAAATTCTGTTTTTTTTTTAAAACAGAGAATAACTATGGCTTAATTCATATACTAGGTATTTTCCATTCAGCGTAAGAGGGCTGCAGGTTTTCTTTTCCCAGAACCGCTTTTAAGTTCTTCCTGCAAATTTAATTTTTATGCTATCTGCTATCCAGCCCTGTTGATGGATTTAGCCTCCCCTCCCAATGGCAGAACTTGTAAATGTGATATCAATGCGGAGAACACTAATAATTAAATGAACCCATCTTTCTTTTAAAACAAAAAAATATCTCTCACTTTCTTCTTCCTCTTGGTTGATGGATCCAGTCAGGAACTGTTCAGTCTTCCTTCCCGCAAGAAGGAAACAGAGAGAAAAGAAAGAATGTGTTAGTCTTGGGCGTTTCAGACACGCAGTAAATTGATTAAGCCTGGTTTGGATCTTTTCGTCTTACGTTTAAGCCTAAATGCTCCCTTTGGACTCGCGCCACACCCTGATCAGACGCAAAGGGGCTCCTGGCCAAAGTTGGCGGGCAGAGAAGAGCCAGGACTCCGCTTCACAGCGGCAGTTTCTTGTAGCCTATCCCTCTAGAAGCGGCCCCTTTGAAGAAGGTAGAAGAGGTGGAGCCCAACCGGCAGGAGGGGTTGTTCCTAAGCATAATGGAACTGCGTTTCTATTATGAAGACTGCAAGCCATTGGCTTTCAACCTGGGGAGAAAGTAAGAAGGGCCGCTTCAAGCGCCCTCTGGATTTTCAAAGGAAAATCTCTCATAGCCAGTTCAGATCTGACAAGCGCTTCCCTGCTGGGTCCGATGGATGCGCAGCACACGCGAAGGAGGAGCGAAGCCAAAGACCCTAGGTAGATACGAAGGTGGGGTGTTGGTCCTTTATTTGCGGGGAGAGCCGTTTCCCTGAGTTTTCATGCCTTTTGCTTTCAAGAGTATAAGCATGATGGCAGGCAGAAAAAATTAACCGGTGAAGTTTTCGGTTAGCATTGGGTTTGTGAATAAGCACCAGTTGAACTTTCATATGATTGGTCTTTACTGAGGTTGAAGACAGATTGCTGTATTTTGAATTATCGAGTGATGTTTCTCCTCCTTCCTTTTGCCTTCTTTCTGATTGCAAGCTACTTGGAATATTTTATGGAAATGTCTCACAAGAAAGCAGGTTATGACTATGTTCACTTGCTTACACTGATACAAAAATAAACCATATTTTAATGAGTTTTCTATTAATTGACTAAAGTTTGAACTGTCTAATGATTGGCAAATATACATTGCTTATAAATAATGTAAGTGTGGAGCATATGCATGTAAGAAAGGTGACAACTGTAAAAATGAACTGAAATCATCAGCAGATCTAAAGAGCTAGTATTAATAGAGGATGTATTAATGGGCCTGTTGCCTTGAAGCATTTTTCTTGGTCAGGTAGGCTAGGGAGAATGTTAATAGTATGATTTTCTTACAGTTAATGACCACTTTTAAGTCATATTCCATGACTAAAGTTATGGAAATAGAAATGAAAGAAGCTAAGCAAATTGTACAGAATAAAAAGCAAGTGTGTTAAAAAATAAACCTAAAATACGGAAGTAGATTCAAAATGTATCAGAGTATGTATAAATGTATAAAATTTCATTTGCTATCTATTTGTTGGTAAATAAGTACAATCCTATATTTTATTATCATAGCTAAGTAGAGAGATACCTTGATTATAGATAAGACCAGGGTATCTTGAATTGTGAACTTGATGAGTCATTTGACAGAGAAAGAGAATCAAAGCTGTACCAGTAGGACTACTGGAAAAAAATAGATTACCTTGAACTATAAAATTTGGGGAGGGTTCTTTGCAGTCTTGGCTGTTGGGATGTGCCTGGCATGACAATTATAATGTGGATTCTAGTTAATAAATATTGTTGTCATAATAAATATACTAGGCATTGAGGTGTAATTAAATTGGTTGTTGTTTCTACTATATGAACACAGCAACTTTCTGGAAATTTGGATTCAAGGAGCACCTAGTAGTTGATTCAGATTATTAAAATTAAACTGCATAGTCATATCAGTAAATAATAGCATAAAGCCTCTCTGCTAGTTGTCTCCTATCCTGGAGAAGGGGCTGAAAGAAAAATAAAAGCCTATATAGAGGAGTCTAGTATAATGTAATACGTATGTATCTCTGTGCCCTGAAAGATTAATGGAAGGCAGGTTGTATATTTTGATAACCTCAGTTTGGTGCTATACAGAACCAAGAATAACAAACGTTTGCTGTCCATTTCTTTTATTAGAGCCACCAAATATGGCCTGCAGAAATCTGGATAATCACCAGATGGTAGCAAAGTAGAACATTAAACAGCTCTTTGCTGCCATCAGGAGATTATCCAGTTTTTTGCTGCTCAGATCCAGAACCTAGCTTTTGATGAGAAGTGAACTACAGGTAGAGGGCTTTGATTTTCACTCCACGTGGCAGGTTACTAGGTACAAACAGCTATATAAGCTCTGTTAATGTGAAGTTGAGATAGGGAAGCTCTGCTACTATAGTCTGCAAGTACTATAGACAAAGAGGGATCTAGTTCTCCTACTCTGCATGTAGAGAAGGGAAGGAATGATTCAAGAGAAAATTGTTTTGATAATTATTAATAAGGGGCATAATGCCTCAGCAGTTAAAGACATGAGCTTGCCAGCTGGAAAGCTGACAGCATGAGTTCAAAGACCCGAGTGCCATGCAGTGGGGTGAGGTCCCATTACTTGCCCCAGCTCCTGCCAATTTAGCAGTTCAAAAGCAAGCACATGTGAATAAACAGGTATCACTTCGGTGGGAAGGTAATAGCGTTCCATGAGTCTCGGGCTATAATCATGCTGGCCACATGACCACAGAAATGTCTTTGGACAATGTTGACTCCCTCAGCTAAGAAACCGAGACAAGCACCTCCTCCTAGAACCAGCCACAACTGGACTGGGGAAACTTTTACTTTTAATAATTTAAACAGCACCAAAGAGATTTACTTTCAATATTTTTAAATTCACTTCCTCTTATTCTGGTATTTCATGATATTATTGGGGGTATTGCAGGTGGGAGCAATAAGTCAACATAGCATTCATGAACATAATAAAAGTATTTTATTTTTTACTTATTCCTGGGATGTCCCTCATTATTAATGCCACAAGACCAGGCAGTAAAAGCTCCCTAGGCCAAGCCTCAGGATATTTGGGGATAAACAATGTAAACCAATGTAGCTTTGGTCAAAGCCTTATCAATTCCTACTTACAAATTCAATTCCCACAGTAATTCCTGTCTTGTCCCAATGGGACTGGCCCACCCCACCAGTTCTGGCAGAGGTGGCATACTGCAGATCCCATCAGCCAAACAAATCCGGCTGGTGGGTTCCAGGAGAAGAGCCTTATCTGCTGTGGCTTCTATCCTCTGGAACATCTTACCCCTGAGGTGAGATTGGGTCCCACCCTCCTGAAGTTTTGTAAGAGCCTTAAAACCTGGCTCTGCCAGATAGCTTGGGGACCCAATGGAGAAACTCCATGCTGGAGGTGGTTGACTACAGTAATTAAAACTTATATTATTTCATCTGTACAGGGAGAGATAGGTAAGAGACATGCTTAATTGCTTAATTGAGGTGAGTGTGTCTAGGCTGAATTTGCTGCCCACAACACACAGGAGGAGATGTGGGGCTATTAAATGTTAAACAGGCCTTGGTAAAAGACATATGCCAGAAGCCATTTTCACATGTTCATGTACTGCATTATTCATAAGTTTTTAAAAGGTCATAAAAGGAAGACATTATTTTCTTTCTAATTTTGTCAGTCATGAAACAGATATAGATATAAAGTTATTATTAAAAATGCTCTGCTTTTATTGAGCCAGCAGACAAGTGAGAGGAATTGTTCTGTAAGCTAAAATTCTGTTCTGTTCTTTAAGAGGAATTGTTTTATAAGCTAAAATTGTTTTGAATCCACGGGTGCTGTGTCGCTGATCCCAGATTTAAAGCATTTAACTGGTGGACTATATTTTGCTGAGTGACGCTCATCAAGTCATTTCAGTATCACAGTTTATATAATAGACCTTTTTCATGGACTAGATAATGAGATCAACCTGTTTATATAGTAGCCTATCTGCACACAAAGATGAGCTGAACTTAATGGTTTGTTTCTACCTACAGAATTTGTGTCTCTAGTTTCATTACAGATTTTGAGGGTGCAAATGGAACTGCAGGGAATTGTGTTGCATGAACAAAATGAAATGGATGGGGGAGGGGTGGATTTCATAAATTTTCCCTCATAATCTAATACTGTGCTTGTTGACTTCAGCCAAAATGCTTCAATTGGCTCTATGTCATTTTGTATATTTCCAAGATTGCTGTTTTTTAATGAGTGAACAAATAATCCACTGTTCCTTTAAATCAAGATCATATGCCACTGTAATTCCCTCCTTCCTCAGGATATTGCAGCTAGGTGATCTCCTCATCTTTCCATAGCAACTCTAGCTGGGAAAGATACAGTAGTTGCCCATTGATGTTCAACTCAGCTGACAATAATTAACCTCCCAATCACCAAAACATCTTTTGAATGACTTATGAAAGGTTTTTCTTGATCTTAGCAACCTTAGAGTAAAGGGAAGAAAGCCCCAACTCTATGTTCATGGAGGCTATAAGCATAGATGATAGATAGATAGATAGATAGATAGATAGATAGATAGATAGATAGATAGATAGATAGATAGATAGATGATAGATAGATAGATAGAAGGCTATAAGCCTAGTGTTGACTCTAACCTTAGC